ACAGGGCTGCGGGGCTGGATCCACTCTGGGTTGCAGCACCAGGAGCCCTTGGGAAGCCCCTGAACTCTTGAACAAGATGGGTGTCAGTGCAGGAAGGATCAGGCCCTTCTTCCAGAGCTGTTGCCGGAATTGTGGTGGTGCCCATCACCTCAGGGCATGTGGAGCCTCCTCTCTCCTCTCCTCCGCAGCCAGGCAAAAAGCACCCTTTTAGCTGGGGTCTCGGTGCAGGGAAAGGGCACTGAGGTGCCCCTCGCCCTCCTCTGCAGGTGGCACTGACGGCCAGCGCCGTGGGGACACGCGGGGGACAACAGAGCAGCAGGGGCAGGCAGGGAAGCTTCGGCTGCCCCCAGCTCCAAATAAGCCCCTTCACGCCAGTGTCTCTCAGCATCCACAGCAGGACAGCCCCAGCCCTCCCTGTCCCCAGCACCTTGCATTGTGTCCCCAGGGTGGCTTCAGAGCCCACCAGGAGCTGGCGTTGGTCCTGGAGGGGGGAGCTGGGACGTGTGGGGACCCACTGATGCCATGAGAACGTGTCCCCATGAGGACAGACAGACCTAGGGACACACAACAATATGGGAGGGTGCCTGCACGCATGAGATGGTGTTTGCACGTTGGTGGCCGCAGGTCACCTCCTCCCTGGGGATGCTCAGATGGGAAATGGGCATTGCCCGAGGCCAGGCTTTGCTGTGGGTGGCCCAAGCTCTCCTCTCTGCTTGGAGGACAGCTGTGCCAGAAGGACATCAAGGGGAAGGTCCCTGCTGGGGCCGAGAAAGGCACCGTGTAAGGCTTGCGGGATGCCTAACGTGCCATCACCTTGGGGTGATGCCATCACCATGGGCCAGGCCATGCCACAGCCATGGATCACCTGGCCAGGGACACCCAGCAGCTCCTGGGCTGGTGGCACAGAGCTGAGGGCACAAGGAGACATGGCAGGAGGCACTTTCCTCCCTGCCAGCATGGTACGGTCTGAAAGGCATGAAGAGGGTAAACACTTGCCCCAAGGGTGCTCTGGGCGTTAGAGATGGACAAGGATCCAGGCAGACCTTGGTGTCAGCCATAGTGGGCAACTCACCTCGTGGCCTCCTGGACAAACACACATGAAGGTGACAAAGGTGAAAAGGGTATAGGAAACCCACTGCATGCTCCTCGCTGCCCTACCAGCGCATGGGAGCCCCTCGCCTGACTCCTGGCCTTATCCAACCTCTCTCCTGGTCTCCTGTCCTTCTCACACACGTCTCCTGGCAGGTGCTGTCCCTGGGTGCTGACGTCCTTCCCGAGTACAAGCTGCAGGCACCGCGCATCCACCGATGGACCATCCTGCACTACAGTCCCTTCAAGGCTGTGTGGGACTGGCTCATCCTTCTGCTGGTCATCTACACAGCTGTCTTCACCCCCTACTCGGCTGCCTTCCTGCTCAACGAGGAGCAGGTGGAGGAGAAGCACTGGGACTGCAGCTACTCCTGTGACCCACTCAACATCATTGACCTCATCGTGGACATCATGTTCATTGTGGACATTGTCATCAACTTCCGTACCACCTATGTCAACATCAACGACGAGGTGGTGAGCCACCCTGGCAAGATCGCCATCCACTACTTCAAGGGATGGTTCCTCATCGACATGGTCGCTGCCATCCCCTTTGACCTGCTCATCTTCCGCTCCGGCTCTGATGAGGTACAGGCAGGGCCTGGAGGTCCATCGGGACAGGAAGAGACTCATGGATGGGTGGCGAGAGATGTATGGGAGAGAAAGAGAGGGATATGGATGGCTTGATATAAGCGGTAGATGGCTAGATCTGCAAGGAGAGGGGTGGTTAGTCAGAGGGATGGGCAAGGATGTCATTATAGGTTTTTATTAAGCAGCTGGGACCTGGGATTTTATTTAGTAGGGTTAGACAGACACACAGACCCTACTGTAAGTGCTAAGACAGTGTCTAACGGGACCCACTCCCCTTGCTGGGGCTGACCCAGCAGAGCAGGCTGGGACTTCAGTTTAGGGACTGGCCCCACACACCTGCGAGGCCAAATTTGGGGTTGCATTGCCAGCCAGACTCAAAATGTCGGCAATGCAATAACCTCTGTGGTTACTGTGGTACCTGGAGGACCCACCTCAGCCTCACCCCATGGGATGGGGTGAAAGGCAGCTATTTTGGGAGCAACCGTTGGCAAGGTGAGGACCTATCAGGAATCATGGGGTTGGCCTTGGCTCCTCTCACTTGCTCACCTGTAATCCCAGGACTTGTTCCCTTTATTGTCAGCGGAGGGAAACTGCCCTTTCTGTGGCATGATTCATCTAACCTATTTCAGATTGCACCTCCAGGACAAGGTGATGCATGCTCTAGAAGTGCATTTTTATCCTTCAAAGGCAGCACGGCTAGGCTGGAGACGCGCCTTTGGCCAGATTTATCTCCTGCTTGTCCCTGAGGTTTCTCACCTCTCCCCTGCAGACCACCACACTCATTGGCCTCCTGAAGACCGCCCGGTTGCTGCGCCTGGTCCGCGTGGCCCGCAAGCTGGACCGCTACTCTGAGTATGGAGCAGCCGTGCTCTTCCTGCTCATGTGCACCTTTGCCCTCATCGCCCACTGGCTGGCCTGCATCTGGTATGCCATCGGCAATGTGGAGCGGCCATACATGAAGCACAAGATTGGCTGGCTGGACAACCTGGGCGACCAGATCGGCAAGCGCTACAATGACAGCGACCTCTCCTCTGGCCCATCCATCAAGGATAAATATGTCACTGCCCTCTACTTCACCTTCAGCAGCCTCACCAGCGTGGGGTTCGGGAATGTCTCACCCAACACCAACTCTGAGAAGATCTTCTCCATCTGTGTCATGCTCATTGGCTGTGAGTGCCTGCCCATGCCCCGCTGTCCCCATCCCTGCCTTGGAGGTTGGAGGGGCTGCTCTGAGGAGAAACAGGGAGAAACCCACCAGGCTGTAGCATGTGGGGTTTTAAGAGAGCATCTCCCTCTGCCTGTGCCTCTTCTGCATGGGCAAACCGATGGGGAGATAGACAGAAATGCAGATTTCAGAAACCCACTGTTTTCAGATCCATGGTTAGATACGGGCTTTGGAAGCCTGCTGGTTCCAGGTCTGAGGCACGACACGCATCTCCCCACGTCCTGCTGAGTCCTTCCCTCTCATTGCAGCTCTGATGTACGCCAGCATCTTCGGCAACGTCTCCGCCATCATCCAGCGCCTGTACTCAGGCACGGCCCGCTACCACACGCAGATGCTGCGGGTTAAGGAGTTCATCCGCTTCCACCAGATCCCCAACCCCCTGCGTCAGCGCCTGGAGGAGTATTTCCAGCACGCCTGGTCCTACACCAACGGCATCGACATGAATGCGGTGAGTACAGGGCGGGGAGGCCCCATGTCCTCACAGCACCTTGTCCTGAATGACCCAGAGTCCAGCTCTGGGTCCACCCAAACATTTCCATCCTTTTGACCAGAGGAGGCAGGAGAAGATTTGGGAGGCTAGAGACAGGTCTGTCTGCCCGTCTGCCTCCTGCATCCCCCTTTCTCCTTCTCCCTCTGTCTGTCCATCCCTCCACATGTATCCAGAGGTTTTCCGGGGCCATGATGGCATTTCTGGGCAGGAGAAGTCTTGGGAGGCTAGTGACAGAGTCTGTCTGCCTGTCTGCCTCCTGCACCCCCCTTTGTCCTTCTCCCCGTGTCTGTCCATCCCTCCACATCTATCCAGTGGTTTTCTGGGGCCACGATGGCATTTCTTGGCCGGAGAGCGGTTTCAGTGCTGGCGCACTGGTGAGGAGCTCAGAGCCCCCATGGCGCCGAGCACTTTCAGGCTGGTGTCTGTCGGTGTCACAGAGCCGCGGAGCCGGTATCGATCCAGCTCCTCTCCACACCGCCGGTTGCTAAGCAAAGTGCATCCCGCTCTCCGCAGCAGGGAAAGGAGGGCATTTAAATAAACCTCGATCCATTTTAATTAGAGCCCGGAGAGGCGGCTGTTTGTTAGCAAAGGGAGGATCAATGGCGGAGCTGCACTGGAGAGGCAGCGTGTCTCCGAGCCTGGCGGGGAGGCTTGTGCCAACGGCGCCAGGGCAGCGCGGGGGTGAGGAGGGGGCTCAGCCGGGGAGTCCTGGGCTGGGGCTGGGGTGGCAGGTCCAGGGCACAGACGTGCTGGCTCAGCCAGCTGCAAGGCAGAGAGAGGAATGAGAAAGGACAAGGCAAGGAGAGAGATGGCACCTGGTCCTCCCCATCTCTCAGCCCTGAGCAGGCCATTAGCCTGCTTGTTCCCAGCTCATGCTCCCTTTTTTCCTAAGACTTGATCCTTCTCCGTCCCTGGGCACTATCAGGAGATGGATTAGCATGAATTCAACCTCTCTGTCTTCAGCTGCTGCTGCCTTGTTAAACAACGGGGCAGCATTTGGGGGTTTGCTGCTGGGAGAGCTTCGGTTAAAAACCTCTCTCATGGAGGAGTCACCCTGGGCTGGACATTGGTGGCAATAACTAGAAGCAAAGCTGTGGCACCCTACCAAGCACAGGTTCTCCTGGCTTAGTGCAAACCCAGGTCACAAATCTGCAATGAGCTGAGCTTGTGGCTTGGAAGTGCTGCTGCTCACACCAATTCCTGCCGGATGTTGCTGAGATGCAATACGATCTAATCAATCATCCCACGACCCGATCAATTCGTCCACCCCTGATTTCCCAGTAGGGAAACTAAGGCACTGCCGCCAGCCTGTGGGATCATGATGGAGCCGGGAATGAGCCGCACTAACCGGCCCCAGCCTGGTTGTCCCAGATTTGGCCACCAGCGGAATGTGAGAAGAGAGCAAGGGGGACCCCATGGCCATAGGCTGCTCTCCAAAAAAAAAAACCAAATCCAGGTGGATTTTACCCTGACACCAGGAGCCATTGGTGGCAGCAGCTTTCTCCATATTGTGAGTTTTACCTTGATTTCACCTTCAGATTTAGTTTTTGTTCAACGCGAGGTATTTGCCACGGGTATATTTAGCTGTTGCTGCACACAACTGGCCCGTGCTGCTTCTTGGCATTCAGGCAGGTGCTGTTTAATTAGGACAGCACCTCGTTACCAGTTTGTGCTCTCATTCAGCCAAGGTTAGTGGGTAGAAAGATGAAAAGGGGGATATGCCACCAGTGGGTATAAATAGATTGATCTGGTTATTATTATTTATTGCTTGGGAGTGCTCTCCTCCCCGGCCACATGCAGTACAAGCCAGGGACAGGCAGGCAGGTGTCCGCCAAGGGAAAATCAGAAGATGTCCCCAGCTTTGGCTTTCTGGGCTTGAGGGCTTCCCATCTGGCCCTGCCGTGTCACCCTGCATGTCACACCGCCTCCCGGGGCTACCATGGCAGCCCTTCCCAGGGACAGTGGCATGATGGCATCTCTCCCTCGCTCTTCACAGGTGCTGAAGGGTTTCCCCGACTGCCTGCAGGCAGACATCTGCCTCCACCTCAACCGCACGCTGCTCCAGAACTGCAAGGCTTTCCGAGGAGCCAGCAAAGGCTGCCTGCGTGCCCTGGCCATGAAGTTCAAGACAACCCACGCGCCACCCGGAGACACCCTGGTGCACTACGGAGATGTCCTCACCACACTCTACTTCATCTCCCGGGGCTCCATCGAGATCCTCCGGGAAGACATTGTGGTGGCCATCTTAGGTGGAAAAGTCCTTCCTTCTGGGGGGGCGACGGGCAATGGGCAAGGGGCAAAGGATAATGGGTGAAGAGTGATGGGCAATGGCAAAAAGGTGATAGGTGAAGGATGATGGGCGATGAGCAGTGCACAAAGGGTGGCAGGTGAGGGGCAAAGGACTTCTCCATGTCCTGGAGAAGGGAAGGCTGTTCCTCAGCATCTGTCTGGTGACCGCACCAGTGGACAGGGGATGGAGGATCCCCTGTAAATGCCAGGGAAAGGCCACAAAGGAGTGAGGAGAGCAGAGTATGGCTCAGCAGTCCCCAGCCATCACTGATGACCCACTGCCCCACTGCAGTCTCCCCATCAGTGATGGCTTTCATGTTGTAATCCCCAGCGTCCACAATCAGGGTTGGGGTTGCCGAGCATCCCCTTGTTCAAAGTGAGGTCTGCTGGTCTAGTACCTCTGGAACTGGGGTGGGTACCCACCTCCCCCTAATGAGCTGTCTGTTGGCACAGGGAAGAACGACATCTTTGGGGAGCCCATCAGCCTCTACGCCCGCCCAGGGAAGTCCAACGCTGATGTGAGGGCCCTGACCTACTGTGACTTGCACAAGATCCAGCGGGAGGACCTGCTGGAGGTATTGGACATGTACCCAGCCTTCTCTGACAACTTCTGGAGCAACTTAGAGATCACCTTCAACCTGCGAGATGTGAGTGCCAGGGCTGTCCCAGGGAAGGATGTGGTCAATGCCTTAAATTTGGCAAGTAGGGGGGCTGAAGTGAGGATGTCAGCCTGTGCTCCTCACTCAGTTTGGTGCTGGATTGGCCAACAGCCACATTTCCCAAGGCACTCTCCATGGGGTTACAGTTTTCCCCATAGCCCAGCAGAAACATGCATACTGCCATTCCTGAGCTCTTTGGAAAAGTTGGTCCCACAAGCCATGTTGGTAGTACTCTGCTCTGCAGCACCTGTAAATCATCGCTGGGACTGCTCCAGCCTGGGCAAGTGGGTCACACACAGGTTTTGAGGCTGCTGAAGTGAGAAATATTCTCAAGCTTCATTGAGTTGGGTACCAGCTTCCTCTGAAAATTCCTTTTTTAAATAATCAGGTTTGCACTCCATGAAAGGCTTGGAGCTTTTTTGTCATTGCTGTTTGACTCTTAAACTTTATGACTGGACTTTGTCCTTTCCTGGTATTTTTTTCTGAGACACTTGCCTGATAAGATAGAAAAGAAAGTCAAATTCCCTCTGTGTCCTGTCCCACCCCAGGGCGTCCTTCTCCACCTCAGGGTGCTCCTTCCCTCCCCGTGGCCCTGACACCCTCAATTTGGTCTCAGAGCACCGAGGCCAGCCTCTAGGATCCCTTGAGCTATGCCACTGGTCCTGGAGTCACTGGGTGGGAAAGGGCAGTGATGGGGAGCCAGAGCTGGAGACCAGCCCTAGGAGGATGCTGAGTGGGCTGTAGCCCCCATGGCACCCAGGGCCATGGTACTGATGGATGGGACGTGGCACCTATGGGTGGGACATGGCATCCATGGATGGGCCTTGGGCCTTGGTGCTCATGGATGGGACATGGGATCCATGGATGCGCCTTCGTGCTCATGGATGGGACATGGCATTCATGGATGGGCCTTGGTGCCCATGGATGGGACATGGCACCCTGGCCCTGGTGACCAGCCCCTCTCATCCCTCAGGCAGACAGCGTTCCCCGCTCACCACTCAGCGAGGAGTATGACTGCACCTACCGGCAGGCACGTCGACGCAAGCATTCCCTTTGCCAGCCCAACAAGCCTGGTGAGTCCCACAGCATCGGCAGAACCCAGCTTGCAGGGCTGGGGAGCGGGATCGTCATTTAATTACTGCCCTAGCAGGTGCCCCAAAGCAGAGGCAGCTGTCAGTGCCTCTGTCCCTGCAGACCAGTGTGTCCCCACCCTGGGGGCACCCACGCTGCCTTCCCTCCCTCTCCTTGGGATGCCCCAGCCCTACAAGCACCCTAGAGGGGATGGGGGCTGATTTTGCCATGTGTGGTACTCCCCAAATTAACCTGTCGTGCTGCCCCACAGACCCAGACACGGGCATCTCTGATGCAGAGCAGTATCACACCTACTCAGAGCTCACCAACCCGCAGGAGCCACTGAGCAAGGACCAGTGGGATGACCTGGGCAGCAGCACCTCTCCCTGCTCCCAGACCAGCGATGACGAGGCCAAGACTGGCAGCCCTACGAAAGCTGAGCCCTTCCCCACATCCAAAAAGGATGACTTTGCTCTGCCCACGCTCAGCCTCGTCACCACCAGCGCTGGCAGCACAGAGGTCGGCAAGCAGGCGGCAGAGAGCAGCCAGTCCTACACAGGTACCCACAGCTGCAGCCAAAGCTGGCAGGAGGGTGGTGAGAGATGCTCAGGCATGGTGGCCTTGTCTTGGGGCAGAGCCAAGCAACTCATGCAGATTTGAGGGGAGCCACACTTGTGGCCAAAGGTCTTTTCTTCCTTTTGTCCCCTGCCATGCCCTGCAGTTTCTCCTAGCACTCAGGGACCCCTTTGGGGCTGCCTCAAGTTGCCACATGCTATGTGGCTTCCATAGGCATGTTGCGTGCCAGTGTGATGGACTGTCCATGAGCACCTTGGGTGCCAGGGTGATGGATCCCTGTCAGCACCTCAGGTGCTAGGGTGATGGACTCTCCCTGAGCACCGTGTATGTCAGGGTGATGGCTCTCCATGAACGTGTTGGGTGATGGACTCTGGAGCACCTCCATGCGAGTGGGGCTGGGGGATGCAAGACAGAAGTGCTGAGATGTCTCCTCTCCTTCCAGCCACCCCCCTGGACATCCCCAACATGTTCACCTTCTGGGAGGACCGAAAGCCGAACCACCACCTGGAGCCTTTGCAGCACATCTCCTTGGTACACAGCTCGCGGGACATCCCCCTGCACAGCGACTACAGACCGGGGCAGATTGAGTCCAGGCTGGAGCTCCTGCAGGCCCAGCTCAGCAGGTGGGCAGGTCCCCAGGGCACAGGGTTGGAGAGCACCCAGGGGCGCCCTGGGCCATCACTGTCTCCTGCTCTCCAGGAGTGGCTGCAGTGGGCTCTGTGTGCAGCAGATGCAACCTCCTGACCCCCTGGGACCCTGCATTGCTTGGGGAGGTGGTGGGAGCATTTTGCAAATGCAGCGGCTTGTCAAACTGCAAGTCCTGGCCCTGGCTGCAGCCCAGCACCTTGTCTGCCGCTGTCCCACCACACCCAGGATCTGCCGCTTTGCCACTACCTCCAAACTCAATGCAATTGCAGATGTGAAACTACCCATGGGCTCATGACCTGAGCCCTTTGCAGGCCTCCTCTTCCTGTTGCAAAGAGCTGCAAACATCCTTTTGCTCGAGCAAATGAGCCTTGTGCACATTGTTGCCCTCTAAATAAGAAAAAAGACATGATCTTTGAATGAGAAGGGAGAACCCACACCGGAGACGTGCAGGTTTAAAGGCCCCAGGCAGCACCCACATGAGTGGCTGGCTCTCCCGCCCATGGCTGCTGCCCATGTTTAGCTCACCCCAGCACAGGGTCCACGCACGTATGTCAGTGTCTCGCCAACGTGCCATCGCTGGCAGCAGGGAATGGATCTCCTACCCACTCTGTAAGCACTGCCAGGACTGTTGCCTGTGAGGGGGGCTGTGCCCCCTCCTGCTGGAGCTGCTCGTTGCAGTCAAGGACAAGGCAAAAGGAAGGGACTTATTCTACTTTTCCATTTCCTTCTATTACTCAGATAAAAATGGTTGGCACCAACCTGCCTTGCTCCCATCTGTTAGCACAGGCAGCTGCCCTGGAGAATTGATCCAGATCAAAACTAACCATTGCAATTTTTTCCCCCTCTGGGGTAGTTTTAGGTTTGTTCCGTTCCCCGCTCCAGATCCCACTTTGGCTCCGCAAAAAATTGGGCAGGCGATGACTGAGTGTGGCGGGAGAGAGATGGCAGGATTGATCTCTCTGTGGCAGTGCTGGTTTGAAGCTCTCTAAAAACCTCGCCAAGCAGCACCAGGCAAAGCATCATCACCCTCGGGCAGCTGAATTGGCACCTCCTCCCCAGTGCCTCCCCTGCCCAGCTGTGGGTCTGGCTCTCGTGGGACACAGTGGGATGCAGTGTGCTAACACCAGGCTGCTCTGTCCCCAGGCTGGAGTCCAGGATGTCGTCAGACATTAATATAATCCTCCAGCTCCTGCAGCGCCAGCTGTCCCAAGTGCCACCCGCGTACAGCCCCATCTCGCCGTCCTCCCACAACCTGGCCATGTATGGCATCCTCCCACGGAGCCTGGAGCCGCTCACCCCCTGCGCACCCTTGGAGGACCAGGAGACGGCGGCCCCGGAGCAGGTAAGGCCACCCCTCCTTGCTCAGCACCGCCTGAGCTTCCTTCTGCCCCAAGCAGATGGGGCCTGGAGAGCCAGCACTTCCCTCCAGCCTCCCTGCGAGCAAAGCACAGCCAAGCGCTCGTGGGTCGAGGAAAAGCCCAGAGGTCTTTGAAATGGGAGTAGATCTACCTAGAGATGCTTCTGCCCAGTGCATTGCTGATTTTGGAGCACAGCCTGCGATCTCCAGCACTACCAGGTTGCCCCATAAGTAGGGAGGGGAGTGGGTTCCTCTGCTCTGAGGTTTCCTCAGGCAAAAAATAACATCTGGGGGCTGAGGGCCTGATGGGGTAAGGAGAGTATGGCTACTTTGTTTTGCTTTTGCCATAACCCACCTGGTTCCTCCTTTCCCACCAGAGCCCGAGCTACACGGAGGTAGAAAAGTTCCACTTGAAATCCAGGGACTCCTTGTCAAGCGGGATGCACCTCACTGTGGCATCTGACGAAACCATGACGGTCTACTCCGAGCAGGAGCACCATTCCCCACCTCTCCCAAAGCCAGAGCCTCCCCACCAAAGGGCACCAAATACCCAGGGACTCTTCTGGGGCTCTCGTTTCCCTTCCCTCCCTGAGCACTTGGAGGCATCTTCTGAGCACCAGGACATTCAGAGACACCTCTCCGACCCAGTGCTTCCTGGAAGTTAGAGATGTGGGGGCTGCGAAGCAAGTCAAGAGGAACCTCAACTGCGAGCTCAGTCAGTTGATGTTGATTTTGACTGCAAGGGTAAGACGGAGGACAATGCCATTGGCTCAGGGGTATAATTTGTAGCTGTCTTCTGCCACCATCAAAGGAAGCGTAGAGCGGCTGGCTTCCAAGGTCAACGTTTTCCAGCGGTTCCCATAGAGTAGATTTCATTTGCACATTATAGTGAACCCAGAGCAGTTCTTTCTTACGGCCACCAACAAGCTGGCTAGGCCAAACGGTAACCACTGCCTCTTCCTTGCCAAGGCTTCCTCTCGAGAACGGCGCAAGCCAAGTGAGCCACAGCGACTGGAGGAGAGCAAATCCACGGCTCTTAGCTGCAAGGCCACTTTGCCGTCAGCTCTTTGGAGCAGGGACCATTGCATTGGTACTGGGCTTAGCCCAGGAGAGCCTGTGGGCATTACAGAAAGGGTAGTCACCAGAGGAGGAGGAGGAGATCTCCACAGTGCAGTACTGGGGGGAGCTGCAGGTGGGAAGCCCCGGACAAGGACAGAGGACAGAAGCTGTCCTTGTCCAACTTGACTGCCACTGAGAAACTAAGGGCCAACAGCCCCTGCCACTTCAGCATGCTTCAGCACGAGTCCTAGGGCACTGACTTCTCCAGCAAGGCTGATCGCGCCTTGCAAACCCCAACACGCATCCCACGACTTCCCAGATAAACCCAACTGGTCACCGGCCTGGGCATAAAGCACAAAACTCAAAAGCACAATCCCAGAAAGCCGAAAAGCCCCAGACACCTCATCCCCAGTCCTTCCTCCCAGCTTCTCCCTTTTGATAAAGGTTTGATAGATGCTTCCTCCTCCCCAGCCCCTTCCCCGGCAGACTCCCGCAGCATCCCCAGTAGGAGAAGACCACTTAGCACTGCCGCCTTGCCGTTCGGTTAGATGCTGTGACAGTCCTAGGCCGCCTGCTCAAGTAATGTGTCGAGCTCCCTTTGAGAGTAGTAAAACTGTGAGCATCTCTTTCTCTGGTTTTAGTGTACACTTTGCTAATAAAGATGTTTTTGGCACCTAATGTGAATTACAGCTGTGTTTGTTGGGACCATCAGTGAATTCATCTCTGGCGGTACAAAGTACAGGTGCTAATCTGCAAAGACCCCTGAGAAGGCTGGGGTCGAACCCCAGTTGCTTTGTCCAGGGAGCGTGGGGCTAATGGAGCCCATGTGCAGGTCTTACAGGTCAAGGATGGGGCCTGGGGGGCTTTGCTGAGCAATTCCTTCCCAAGGGGATGCAGTTCAGGCTCAGCAGCAATTAGCAAAAGCTCTTCTACAAGACCAGCCTGCTGCTGTTCTGTGTATGGTAAATGACCTTGCAAACACACCTCGGGCAAAGGTTACACCAAGTGTTCTTGCAGCAAGCAGGACTTCAGATGAGCACAGCGATACCTAGCGCCCAACCTACATCCCTTGCCGAAGGGGACACGGCTCCTGTCCAAGCCGGACTGCTCCTTCGGGAGGGCTGCACCCACTGTCACCCCTAACAGATCCTGCTTGGCCCCCGAGAGGCGAGGACAGACCCCGTGCCCTCAGCAGGGGGTTAAACCTGCCTCCACCCGGCTGATCTCG